AATCCCACCACAAGAGCCAGCTTGCAAGCTGAACAGACAGCAGTAAGAGGTCTTGCACAGAGTTTGTACTCTTTTTCAGAAACATATTTCAAGGACTTTTCCAGGACTCAGACTGATTTTTTTTACAAGACTCAAAATTCCACTTTAAAACCTTTCATCCCCAAGATTTCAAAATCAACCCCTAGAGTCTACATAAATATCTCTAAACATAAATTCTAAAAACTTTATTGCTTGAGTTGAGCAGACTTTCAGGACTTTACAGGACCTGTAGTCTTTTTCCATGACTTTCCAGTCTAAGAAAATATCAAAAATAAAATTCTGGGACTTTCCAGGTTTTCCAGGACCTGTACGAACCCTGCTTGTAGACCAGACAGTGGTAGACCACCAAGAACCAGAAACCCTTGAACTACTAACTCAATCAACTGAAATATCACTGGAGATTGAAGGACAATACTGGTGAAATGTGAGGGTGGAAATCTGTAATGGAAATCTAGGCATCTCATACAGAGGAGGAGTAACAAACTCCTTTTTGCTGAAACTGGGATCAATACCATCAGAATGGCATTACCTTATCACTATACACCATCATGCACAAATTAGATGGACCTTGCTTGATTTATATACAGCTATGGAATAAATTGCACTGTCAGAATTTACACCCAAAAACATAAAATTCTTACCAAGAACAGATCTGTCCAAGTCAGCATTTTGACGATCCTGAGATAACATCAAGGTAATCGCTGATGTACAAAGCGCCAAGCACTGCAAATAATCAGAGAAATCAAGATGGAAAGCATTCACAACTTTTCCTCTAAGAGCAGTAGTGGTATAGAAGGGATTGATAAAATGAGAGTACTGAGCAAAGTACAGCAAAGAAAAGAACATCTTGATGATTGTGAATATTACATTTAACTAAGTAAATAGTACATAAGACTGAAAAAAAACCCTACCTTATCTGAAGGTGCATCTTGAAGAGCTGAAAATATTTTAGGTCCCATGCCATGGGCCCGAAGGTTCACTCTGAAAGAGGGTTGAGCACAGTGTGATGCAAAATCCAGAGCACTGACACAGCGGGTGGAAATTGAACGAGTCTCATTGAGACCATCCAGAAGGTACTCTACATCATCAAAAAACTGAAACAAAAGTGTATTCATTTCTACATTAAAATGATATCACTTAATTTTATAAGGGAAGCAGAATGCATTACATATGCTGCAAAACACAGCCTTAGAATGAATGCTGCAAAAGGAAGCTCAAACTCTCAACTCTGCATCCAATTTAAGATATCTGGCACTTAACATTGTCGCTGTTTTTTTTTTTAACCTGAGGGCAGAGAAACTGAGAGAAAGTTAAATGAAAGGCTTACCTGCTGGTCTTCTCCTGACTCTAGACATTCATGGACTTGTTTGACATTCCTCACTACTGTGAAAAGCTATAACAGAGAAGACAACATTTATCAAATTAATTTGGGGCATCAAAAACCTTGAAGGATTTCAAAATCTAATAGATTTGACAAAGGCGATGACTTAAAAAAATCAGGAATAAAAATCACAAAACTTGGCAAGGATATAGGATATGTGAATAACCCCAGACATCTAAAAAAATTGACTCAAGCCTCAATCTTTGAAGTTTTTATGAAACCTTTATTTTGAATCAAGTTGCCAGGTCCACTCAACTTACATTTGAGCAGGACCTAGTTGTTCCTAGGGTGGATAACACTATCCAATGGATAAAATCACTGTCCAGCTGATGAGTGTTAACAAAACATAGTATGCTTGTAGACAAAGACCTACTGGTTTATCAGTTCTTTTAACTCTGATTGCACTTGGAGAATCAGTATCTTTTTTCTGTGGTAGACACACAGCTGGAGCAAGACTTGGGGCATCTGAGGGTACTTCATCCTGTGACTCTTCACTAAAATCAGCACTTGTGGGCTTTAAAAAAACTATGCTTTAGATTGACCTCACTACATCATGGCTGGACCATTTATTATCATTAATACTATCTCTGGGAGAACAGCAGTAAAATCATTTGTGGACCATCTAGTCTCTGGGTATCCTAAGCTATCCTTTTCTTCAAAAATAGTTTTCACAGATGGATATCATCACGCTTCCTTAATGTTATCAGACTTTAAAAGGGGGAATTGGGAACTGACCCACCTAAATCTGTTTGAACAAAGATAACAGCCTTAAAGGAGCCAATAAATAAAATTATTTAATTCTTTAAGACTGTAAAAAACATTATTAAACTTCCTACACCTAACTTTACATCATATCATAAAACACTCAACTGTTAATGTACTGTAGGCCACAGAAATTTTCTTAGTGTTTTCCATTTGTGATCATCCGGCAAATTTGCCTGAGAAAAAGCCTGGTCTTCTTTTCATAGAGGGATCATTTTCAAACCTTGTCACACTATGAGAGAGGCACAACCCTCCTTACAAGTTCTAAACCCTTCACTTATCCCCTTTCTATTCATGTACTCTCTCCTCTCCAGACAAAAATAAAAAATCTTACCAAGGCCGAGAGTCTTCTTAATTTGTCTTTCTTTGGTGATAGAGACTTGTCATTATTCTTCAGAAAACTCTTAAAAGGTGACTGCAAAGTGAAATCAAGAAGAGCATTAATCACTTAATAAAGCACCTGTTTTTTGAGTATCAAAATTGAAACTACTAAGAAACACTTAATATCAGTTTCTGCACACAGGATCTTGTTTTCAAGTTCCATAGAATCCAATTTATCAAAACAAATAGACAAAAAAATGTGTAGAAGACAGAAAAAAATTAAAAATTACATTATGACAAAAAGGATTGACTTCCATTATGTGATATTTATGTTTGAATAAGAGGCAAAGAAAATACTCAGGCCAAATGAGTAGTACAGAGTCGGTCACCCTTTCAACCCTAAGACCTAAAAATCAATTCTTTATGATCACACTGTCTGCCTGACACTTCTTTAAATTCAAAGGCTGAGAATTTGATGTTAGATCAACAAATATTCTATAATTGATATTTCTCTCCGTTGTGATTACCCCCTACAGCTAAAAAGTGTACTGATACTGTGAGGAAAATTTTCTTTTTGGTAGCCCTTGGAGATAAAAACATGTTTACGACCTTACCGAACTGAGCTTCTTTCTGTAAGTATAAGTGCCCCTCTTCTCGCCTCCTTGGGATGAATTTTCACTAAATTCTTGAGAGCTGCTATAAGCTTCATCATCAGTACTTTTATCGGTAACTTCTGGCGCGATCGCTTGTTTCTCTGGTACGATAGCGTTACTTTGCAGAGCACTCTTCTGTGAGTGTGAAATCGTCACGTCATCTTCGTCGAAAGCATACGGGTCTTTCTCATCGATCGTGCCTAATCTTCGCCGTTTGCTTGTCTTTGATGCATCGATATTCCCTGCCTTTATCAGACCAGCATTGCTTTCGATTATTCTACTTGTTCTAGCCCACGGAGACTTCCTGGACTTCCCTCTTGAGAACGTCTTCTGCCCTAATGTAACGTTCGCATCCGAATTCTCACTCTGTTGAATCTCATCAAATTCCTTGGAAAGTTTTGATTCTTTAGCGCGATTACGGCTGTATGTCTTGGTGCCGTATTTCGGCATGAGTTTATCTTGGTCACAAAACTTGTTTAGAGGCAATCAAACGAAAATTTCGCGTGAAATCATAACGAAATTTACACGCATATAGTCTCCCTCTCTCAAATTCATAATTTACCGGGAAGCAAACTGCGCATATTATTGTTGTGAAAGCCGCTGTCATTTCTAAACTTTTATGGCGCGAAAAAAATAGACAGGCTCGCACTGCGTCCTCAATATTGAGTTATCGATCAAAATTTGCTCTTCGTCACAGGAGAGGTGGTACAGCATCTCCTTCAAATCTCCTCGAGTATCAGAATAGTTTTCTCCAGCATGAAAGAGTGAGATTAGTTTCAAAACACGAAAACGGAGAGTTAGTCTCACGCAAAATTATTGATATTTCGGCGGTACCAAAAGTTTACTGTCAGTAAGTGGATGACTTTGTTTTCCGAGTCACAAATTGTGCATAATTTATATTCGCAATCGGCAAAACTTTCCTATTAATGCATAATTGTGTACCTCTTTCCTGCTTTACTTGCTCCAAGTCCTCCCTCCCATTTTACGGTGTGATCGATCTCAATGAACCCATGCTCCATAAAAGCCTCTTGTCACCATGTGACCAAAATCCCTTGGAGCTTGGGAATGAGAATGAATTTCACAACGAAAACGCGGGTGCACCACTGTTGTAGAGGACTATTTCACTCGCCAGTTTTTGTCAAGTTAAGGAAAATTTTGGGAAAAAAGAGCAAAAAACTATCAACCTCTTGAGGTATCTGCGGTGGACGAAAACTTCATCCCGGAAAATCATTAATAGGTAAGATTTTTAATATGTTTAAGCTAAAATTGGATAAGCTATTTGTCAAAGACTTGGTGAACGAAATCGAAACATGAGTGCAGTGCACTACTGAGCTGGATTAGGCTAATAAAGCCGTACTATCATGCAAATTTGAGCCTGATTTATTTGAAAAAGAAAGATACTTACTTTGGTGCAGAGTGAAATGAAACGTTTCATGCTTTGACTTTGATTGTTTTGAGTTGGAATGCAGATTTCAACACTTCAGTGTACGAGTAACGGGCGGTTTTGTATGTGTTTGAGTGTTTAATGAAATCGCTAGAACGAGTAACGAAGCCACATGATTCATGGGTTTCTCTTCTCAATTGTAGCTTCATCTCCATTATTTTCATCTAACTAACCCGTAAGACTCATTCATTCAAGCTCAATACAGTTAGGAAGTTTGAAGAGTAAGCGAGCACCGGGTTGCGTTACCAAATAATCGTTTCTTTTTCCTACTGATTCAAACTTGCCCTGCGAATCACCATGTGTTTCGATCCCTCAGTCTTGTCCCGTAATCAAAGATGTATCTTCGAAGATAAGGCCTTCTTCTACAGTGTAAGCATGTTTTCAATATTGAAAAACATTCACGCTGAAACGAGAAATCTTTTACACTAGCCTCGCAATAAAAATTCCCAACATGCTAGACGCGCATGAAAGTAACGCAAAGCGTGACAGAAAACATAAACATGCCCAACATAAGTGCGGGCCGTTTTTCCTTTTTTTTTTTTTCTGTTGTTCTTCTTGTTACTTTTGTATTTATTTAATTAATTACGAAGTTGTTTTCAGTAACATATCTAGTCAGATGCTAAAGTATAACCCGCATGTCATGTAAACTATTCGTAAGTGAATTTACGACGATCCAGTCCCCCAACCGAGGAGTGCTCAATTATCAAACGCTTCGCAGAAACATCACAATACTTTTAAAATATCTTTGTTCTGGGTGCTGTTTGACAGTTTTTCGCCATGGGAAAACAGGGAAACAGAGAGTGACAATAAGATTGCCAGCTGTGATGTGTTGCTTCCTCTAAAATCATTATTTAACTTTTGTCCGTTTCGCGGGACGTCAGCGCTGTGAATTTTTTCCAGATAATTTGACTGAATCCCTTCCTTAACAAAGTTATTTTCATTAACAAACTTCTTGCTACGCCAATGTGTTTTGTTATTTGACAGAATGCTTTTCATCACGCCAATAGACTTTGTTTTTATTTAGAACATCAGATTTAGCGTAGCCCACATAATCTCGTCTCGGAAATTAAATTTCCGTCGGCGGAGAGGCCATCTATAAACTAGTCTAGAGGTAAGGCTGGTGTTGAAAGCTGAGAACATAGTTTAACAAAAATACAAAACAAGAGGTTAAAATATCCTGTCAAACGGCTTCTTTTGAAAATACAATGTGATCAAACTAAATTTAGAAAGGGTAATTTAGTATTATCAACTGAGTTGATAATGTGAATTGGCCACCGTTAGAGTTTCAAAGCTAACGTTTCGAGGGTTAGCCCTTCGTCAGAGCGAATGGAGGAATTGTGGGTTGTGCATGCATGTGAGTGTTTAGAAAGATCTTTATATAACGGAGTATAGACTCGTTTATTCCAAACATTTATGAAACAAACAGTATGTCTTTGACCTTCGCACTGGGACTCTTCCCAACGAGTTTATTTCAGTATTCCGAAGATCCTTTTATCAATACATCTAACATTGTATTAGTTGTAATTATTAATTGCTTTTTTCCGCCATATGGAATACGCCGTCCAAAGCCACGTTTTGCACAGTCTCTTTCTTAATCTTTCTCAGTGTGCGCGCCTTACCTCTGGAACTCGGTACCATTGAGATTAAAAGCAGCGCATCTGTCTATTTTTAAAGCTAAGCTTAAGACTTATCTTTTTCGACAAGCATATTTTTAGACTTAAAATTTTTATTTAATTATAGGTTATGATAATTTGACACTGTAAAGCGCATTTGGGCGTTAGGAAAATGCGCTATAGAAATAAATTATTATTATTATTATTATTATTATTAATCACATTAGTGTACAATGATTGCATAGTCTGGTTGACCGTTGCAGTGTCATTGATGAGTTCTAAATCAATTCACCCCTTTAATCGTTTCCTTAACGATTCTCTGATGATTTATCAGTAACGATCTCAATAGCAATTGTCGTTGCTGCCTGCCATACAATTCCGATGATGTTGGTTCGGAGAATTTAGCATTGGGTCAACTAAAGGAGTTTGTAATCTCTTGATAAACTAATAATATTGTAATTGATACTTTTCTTTAATTTGATATTGCATTAATATTATGTAAGGAGAAATTCTGTCTTTGTCATTCGTAGGTGTTAAAGGTTTAACCCTTTAACTCCCATGAGTGACCAAGACTGAATTTCTCCTCACCATGTCAATACAATATCAAGCAGACAAGTGATGAGAATAAAGAAAATAGAAATTAAGGGAATACAAGTTGATCCAATACCAAATTCTCCAAACAAACATCACTAGAACTGTATGGCAGACAGTAAGGAGAATTACTGATGAGATCTTGGGAGTGAAAGGGTTAAGGTATTGTTCAGCCTCAGGCCAGACAAGGCTGTCCATCCCTTCATGTTATGCTTGGCCGCTCGCTTCTCTTACTGTTTGCCTCTCTTTCTCCCTCCTTGTAGAGTTCCATGCAGTAAGCAATGAGAGTATCTTTGCAGTGAAATCCTCAATTAGCGCAAATAAATGGGATGGAAGTCATAATTTATCTGGACTTCGTCATAAGTGAAAAATGACAAATTGGGGTATTCTCTATTAAACCCAAATTCTGTCAGATTTCACTTTACAATAAATCATTTTACCTCAATGCGATTCTAAAAGAACTTGAGTTATGGTGCATGTCACAGTTTTCTTTTCCAGCGAAATGTATCCCACGTGAAACACGCGGGTAATGCGGTAATTTCACGCGTGGGAAGATCCAGAGCCGAGAGGCCGTTGATAGACGCGATAACAATTCTTCTCATTAACCAGCATGTTATTTCGATTTTACAGCTTTTATAGTGACAAATGATCCATGTTATACCGTGACATGTTTCAGTTTGCGGTGCCACAATGTCTTGAGACAAGATGTGATGCGCCCAGACCTTGACATTTTATATCGCGCAGGGCACACGCATTCATCAGTGACAAGTCGATATCAACAAGGAGAGAAATCTGCTTACGTTTGCCGCTATCGAACAGATCCACTTGATAGCGATTTCCTTGTTAACTTGTGTCTGTCAAGCTGTCGCCAGCCGGTCTAGAGATTTCCTTATCAGGTGCTTTTCCACTTGCACCTTGTCGCCAAAGAACAACGACATAAGACCCAAAAAATTCAATCGGCTATGCCATACACGAAACCAGTTCATGCGCGTTAGCGATTTCCACCGATTGTGGATTTTCAAGGTTACCAGCCTGCGTTTCGAAAGTATGATCTTTGAGTCATAAGTTCCGTTGCCCTGTAAGTTTTTGATCAGTTTCTCTCTGAAGTATTTTTTTTTGCTTCAGTTTCGGGTGCTACGTGTCGCTGCAAAAATTGTAAATTCGTTTAAAAAATTGAGGCCCACTGTCAAACTGAGAAGCAACGGAGGCAAACCTTAAAATGTATCTTGGGATTCTTGATATTTTTGTTGGATCAGATGTGTTCCGCTATTGTCAGGCTAAAAACGACATACAAAAAAACTTTCAAAAATTTCCTTTGTCAATTATGGCATGTTATCATTTTTATTTCTCCTTTATATTTTCAAAGTGTTTTCTTTCTCGAAATTTTAAGCTTTCAAAAGAGTAAATTGATTAGTGATTTTTGCTACCATTTCGAGTAAAGTTGGTCCGAAGCATATTACAAAGTTTATTGTTTGACAAGTTAATACCACATCATTTGGCCGATACAACAGCACTAGAACTGGAGAGGGGAAATTAATAGTTGGCTTTTGACATTTCCCTTTCTTCGTGAATGTAAACTTCCCAACTATTGACTCATCCAGATCGAAAGAAAACTCATTATACTAGCAGTTAAAAATAGACATGTGATAAGCGATATTTATGTAATTTATTAAATTCACGGAAGAGTTTTTGTGTCGCAAAATCAAGAAATATTGGTATAGGATATTTTTCAACGAGAAATAAGTCGAAGAGGCTTATTTTATATTATTTTTCTAGACCAGTGGTCGGTTTTTTTTCTTTTTTTTTCATCTTGACACATAGGAAATGATAAGAAAATGAATAAAAGAGCGACTTCGTGTGCATGAAAATTAGCGAGGCGTTCGTGTGGATTTCCTCGATTTTAGGTGAAAGTAGGAAGGAAAACTTAACACAATGCAGTGAAAACTTGATAGAACGGAACGGCAGGTAAGTGTGAAAAAGGCGAAGGGGAAACAAAAGAAATTAAACAAAAGAATGGTACACGATTGTACCAAAATAACTCAAAAACAGGTGATCAAAACTGAAAATAGAAAAACGGGAATTAGGACAACAGGCGAGCAAAAGTAGGTTTGAATGAGACTCAAGTGTAAAGAAATTGAGGAGGAAGCTCCCGGCATCTGGCATCCTTCGAAATTAATAACACGCGCTTTACTATTTGCACATTAACAGTCGGCTCTCTGTTGCCTCAACAAGTTGAAGTCGAAATTAGCATCCAGAGCAAATACTATAGCAGCTGAGTTCCTCTCTAAAATAAATTTGCTTTTTATGCAATGTATCAGGAAAAATGGGTCTTGTCACATCGCTCAGTCAATGTCAGTTCAAGCAACTCCCAATTTTCTTGCCCTTGGCAACGCCATTTTAGTCTGCGCGATAGTAAGATCACGAACTGTCAGGCGCTATCACACAGCGAAGGGAAAAGCTATTTATTAGAGTGAATTAACGAAATCAGCGAGCGGATCAGAGCTTCGGCCACAATTAATGCTTGCCCTAGTTTCATTACTCTTCATTTGAAAGCTGTCGAGATCGAATCAACTTTTCTGAAGCCCAATAATCTCCAGTGAATCTTGTCTGCGGTGAAAGGTTCACCCACGATCAAACACCTCCGACAGCCAAGGACTTTACCGACATCCATCAAACTGACGCCTTCAGCCCGATAATACCAATAACAATCACTCTCGCAGAATTTCGCTATTAAGAAAGGATGACAGCTTTACAACTCAGCTGTCGAAGAGTCGATCTAAATTGGCTCTATAAAGTATGTACAAAATTCGAGCAATTTCCATGATCATACTGATCGACGCGATTTAACAGCCACCGCATTTTCATACGAATAAAGAACCCATTACAAAACGATGTGGCAAATCGACTAAAACTTGATCCATATCAAGAAACCACTTTTAGATAAAGATCTGTCCTTTCTATCGTGTTCATAAAATTGATAACGCCTCGCTGAGGCATTTGTCAGACGACGGTACATTTATATTTCCCCCAAAGCAATTTTCATTTCTCATTCGAAACGCGGTATCGCGATAACCTGCCAAATTCTGCACGATCTTCCTTGACTTGTTTGACAAGTTGGACAAGCGGTCTTGTTTTAAGTAAAGGTGATTTACAGTCGCTAATGTTATCTCATTAAGATAGATCAACTTGAAAATATTCATTTAATTTTTAGTTAGGATTCGAAATTGTGACAGTTCATTTCCTAAGAAGCGACAAAGCAAGATTGGTTTTCGCAGTAGGCGAGCACAATATGGACATTTTGATTGACAGCTTGTAATCGATATTGTGCCAAACGTGTGCTAAGATACGAGAGAATAAATAAATAAAGGTAATAGCCGTTTTCGCCCTCAAACCGAAAATTGAACTCCCTTGTGAAAACTATTTGGACATGTGGCAAAACTCATGAAATCGTCTTTTAAGTCACCGCTTCCTTTTGACCTGTCAAAACTGTCATTTCAGATGTGATCAGTTGCTAATGACAGAAACTTATCCCTGTCAATCAAACATTGAAAAGACTTGTTCGGGAATAAAAAAGAAAAGTTCAAACTCTCTGTCTCCAGCAAAATGCCCTGCAGCGCAAAGAAAAAACCGCTATCTAGAAATTACCACGTTTATCATGATAGTTTTATCTTTGATGCTCTTAAGTAAGATCTCTCGCGGTCGTTTCAATTATGAAGATAAAGTCACAGGCATTTTGCCTCTATATTTCTCTCAAGAGCGAGAAAACTGTACAAGCGGCGAGCGAAAAAGATTCTGAAAAAGATAAACGCAATTCTTATTTTCTCAAGCAAAACAAACGAGACAGCTTTTAACCTAAAATAACATGTTTTATTCATTGAGTACACGCATTTCCCTTTATCTTACAAACTTTACACTTGCGCGCCGAATGGTTGTCGCCGAAACCATTGAGCTTTTTATTCTAAGTGCTAGAATTATTCTCCCATTAAACCAACAATAATATCCGCGAAAGAATACGGGAAAATATATCCTTATTAACACCCAAACCATCCATATTTCCTCATATACAACAGTTAGCATCTCGAGTGCTCTGTTTCGCCTTTGTTTAAAAATCACTAGAATCACCAGAACAGTTTCCGCTAACTCCAAATTCATACAAGCACTCGTCATTGACTTCACACAAATAAAGAACGTACTCTTTTTACAAGTTTCAAATGCATAATTTCCAAACTAGCCAGCTATTTTTCTTCATCGTTCATTTGAAAAGTCTGTGCGCTTCGTAAGCATGTAGTGGATACGGTGAATAGCAACTTGTGGGGGCCGGTGGAAATACCGGTGGCTTATAATAATAGGGTCGATATCTCGCGGAATGTAGGTTCGACTGTAATGGACTTGTTCTTAACTTGCATGGACATCCGTGAATGTTACAATTCGTTTGTGCATATGGTGAACTTCCTTGTGTACTAGCCTGAGTGTGGGTTCGCAGATGTTGAAATAAATCTTCCGAGGTTGTGAACGATTTTCCACAGTGTTTGCTCCCCGCCACCCAGTTACAGACGTACGGGGAGGCCTCGTCCGTTGTACCAGGTTTGTACAGGGCCATGCTATGTGGGTATCCAAAACATGAAAAAGACGATTGTAGGTTTTGCTCTGTTTTGACATTGTCGCACTGCGTACAGTGGGGTCCACACTGTGGCATAGAACTTGGAAATGCATACGGCGAAAACTGCGGTTTACAGTTCGTACAATTCACATCACGGCACACAGTTCTTTGAAGATAGTCCATGTACGGTGTGCTTCCCGGGCTATGTAGTTGGAACTGGTGTCGTCCAGCACCGATGCTGCTCAGCGCTGGGGATGCGTCCCCAGGGTGCGGAGAGCAATAGCCACAGCCACATTGAGGAAAACTAGTGGGGAAATTAAGCGGCATAGACGATGCCAAACCATGGGTTTTAAGACTAGGAGAGACTGGATCTTGCCCTGTTGGCATGGGATAAGGTTGTATAGTTCCGGTCTTGAACGGCAAAATTGATGCTGGATGGACACAACCAGCACCGTAGTCTTTGTGCAATGAATGAACGCCAAAGGCCTGTTGGCTTGGATCAAGAAACATACCACAAACCCTATTTTGAGACGCGGAGTGGTTTCCACATTGGCTGTCATCGCTCGACGGGTACTGAAGCGATGTACTTTTCACTCGTTCCTCTTTGCCGCTCGTAACAGGCGAAAGAGAGGTATTATTTTCCTTACTCGGAGCGCGAAAGCCTGCCTTTTCGTTGTTCATATCGTCGACTTTTTCGCCGGCGGTGTGTTTGTACGGTTTGAAGGAAGATCTGGTTTCGTCGTCGCTTATCTTTCGGTCTCGAGATGCGTTATCTTCTGCTGTTTCCTTTGATGGCTCGGTTTTGCCAATGCTGCTACAAGTCGCCGCTAGCAGGGCCAAAGGAGATTTCTTTTGGTCTTCATCCTGACAGTCAATAAAAAAATGAAATAACACCGCTTGAGTTAAAAAGGTAAGTCGTAAAAATTAATCATAAATTTACCAAGGGGTTGGCTGGGCATAACTCGATATCTATAAAACCTCGGTGAGATATTTTAAAATATCGAGCTAGGTACCTTGAATGGAAGTGGTTGGATATACTCTTGATTACACTTTGAGACACTTTGCGTCAACATTTGTAAAGCCTCCAGTGGAACTCGATTGCTAGAACGAGATATCTCTGCCGAAGACTCTGTTGCTTTTAGAGCGAGTGTTCGTGTCGGCATATCTGGTCTGTGTGTGTGTGCGGTAGACCTTCTGAAATATTAAATACTACACAATGAAAGGTGTAGATACAGAAGAAACGAGCCGACTACAGACAAAGCCAGTGCGCTCTTCTGTCGTAAATGAATTGGTTAGATTAGAGAACATTTGCCGCCATCCAATCAAAACGCGTCTTTAGCGATATTTCACTCCTTCATTGGATAATCAAACTGACAAAGTTGTCATCCTTGGACATCAAAGTAATTGGCTATATAAGATATTGATTGATGATTTGCCGTTTGGCCAATCAGAGCACAGGAGTTAATTAAGTAGTGGATCGCATAGTGTGTCAACGCGCTGCTCTGAAGCAATCTACCTGTCAATCTTCGTCAATTATTTTTGTCACGTATTGTTTGGAGATATGTGTTGAAGTGAGTTGTGTAAAACTTGTCAATTTCCAGCTTGGTGTTCGTTGTGTGTTCAAAATCACGCTTTTGTGCTCATTGTTCTTTTAGAAGAGGCTTAGATAATAGAGGTTTCGGTGGGAGCTCGAGCACAACTGGTAGTTTTGGCGTCGCATTGACGTTCGTACGCTGTAGGGACAAGGACCTTCCTAGCCATGTTTACTGTTCGGCACTGTTTGATCCCGATGACACATCTTAGTGTTATCTTATCGAGCCATCAATCACGGCTACAGGCGTTCGGAGATTATGAATAAGATTAGATAATGTGTTGACATGTCTAATAGCTTTGACGGCTCTGTCAAGTAACACCTAATGCCTGACTGAACATTTAGAAAACTATTAGTCTTCGCCAAAGGACCGCCACGACTTGTAATAACACATCCTTCAAAAATTGTTATTAACCAAACAAAGGCTTCCCGGCCACCAGGAAACTCATTTCAAGATCTAACCTTGGCAATATTGCTTTCTAAAACAACGCAAAACACAGTCTTCCTAACGCCTGTATTTGCATAATTAATTCCACGACTAATAAAAGCAATTACTGGAAGCGATAACAGATCTTAAGGAGCTTAAAATAACGAAAATGAAAATTCTCTGTGCTTTTGTGACCGATCGAGGGCTCAGCCGATAACTGCATTAATTTTCATTCTTTATGAGAATTGTGTGGCATTTTGTACTGTTTACCTAGCTTTCCTTCAATTTGGCCGAATGAGAGACATCAAGATGGCATCGGGAACAGATCTTCGACAGCTGGGAGCGTTTTCACAATACCCCTCATAAACAGCGAGTAGGAGTGTTTGCATGGACCCCAAATAAAAGCAGATGATTTTATGAGATAAAAAATTAAAAATGCGTTCGGGAAGTTATTAAATGATGGGCTGTCTCGAGAAAAGATTCTTGACGAGGATAGGAACAAGGGTCGAAGGAGAACTTTGTCGCTTACAAAAATAAGCCGTTGATCAAACAAAACTTTTATTTGAAAGAGAAAAAAACACAACATTCTTCCTTCATCCGCTCTGTGGGTTTTTTCATCAAATATTCCATTAAAAAGCTACCAAATCCCCGCGACAAAAGAATTTTGCGGGTAGCTTTGACATAACATATATTATGTGGGACAATATATTGAAGTGGTGAAAAGCTTTTACAATGCAAACAAAAGCACTGGATAATTTGTTTTTCACAGTCAGAACTCATTCCGTTTTTGACAGGTAATCTATAGTTATCAAAAACAAACAATTGCCGCCGCCATAACTGTCAAAGGTCCGTCCGCACGTCATGGCATTCATTAGGACTAAAAACACAACCCCCCTTTCGGCAAAAGAGCACGCGTCCATCTTATTGAGTTTAATACGCCATCAAACAAACTCATCAAAAGCACTCTTAATAACTCGTCAAAGTTCATGAACACGGCTTTGCCCATAAATTGAACCCGGAGCTGATCGAAAACCACCCTACCCAACAAAGTAATTAATTCTTGTACGACGTGTCTTGTAAAGCTTCTTCTACTTAAATAGCTCATTAGCGCCTGGAGCTGTCAGGCGTTAAGATGTTTGGCGCTCTTTCAATGTGACTGATCGTACCAAAACAAGATAAAAGAGTGCCGCGCTCAAGAACCTGTCATTTTAGGCGGAAATGTCAGCCGTTTCTCAAGTGCCCCGTCGAACTTGTCTGCATATCAACAAACTCAACAAAATGCTCTTGGGTGTTTGGCGCCAGGAAGACTAAAACCTCATCGCACGTGCCTTCCTTGTACTCAACTAACCCAAGGGCTCTAACCCGGCCAATATCGAATACTTGAAGGGAAAAATCTCGCGATTTTGCAATGTAATTTCTCAACATTACCTGATTATTTTCCTTCCCCTTCCAAGCTGCTCGTCATCAGCACGCAAGAAAAAGGTGCCACGCCAACTGTTTGTCAGACTTACGTAAAGGTAATTTCTGTGATAGGCGCATGCAGATTGTCGATATTTGCATGTGTCGTCCGTGGAGATCAAAAAAGATAGTACAAGAGATCTATAAATGATATTCTCATGGGTGCTTGTATCTACTTCTATTCAAATTCCTTCTGCAATATTTTGGTATAGCATTAATTAAAGGTTTCAAAACAGTTTTTTTAATACTAGCCTCGAAGTTTTATCAAGCTACCCACAGTTTTCGGTCATGAGATATGATAAAAAAAAAAAAAAAAAGGAGAGATAAAAATACTCAACAGTCGCTTACACGTTTTCAAATATCTCACACAAGGGAAGACGAAATGAAAACGAGATAATTTTGTGCGGCACCTCATTATTTTTCGTTCGTGCGGAGGGAAAATTAATCCAATTCGTAAACGAATGAATACAAGCTCTGTGAGCAATTAGAATTTTACTGCGTTCAATTCAAATAAACTTTGTTTTTCCAGTCAACAATTTATTCAGTGAATTTTAATTTTCACCTGAGGTTATAACTGGTTTTTTGTTTTCTCAAAGCAAAAATTAAAACTTATTTCGCGCGTCCTCCCGCGCGCTCTCGCTCAATCGGCACGTTCCGCAGGCGTGGAAGATATACATATTTTTTCTTTTCTGTTTTTACTTTTTGGGAGGGCTTGATGTTTTAACATAGTTCCGGTGTTATAAAAAAAAGCTTCTAAGATGGTGTCAAATGCTACAAGCTGGAAACCCTCAAGCCACTTATCGTAAAAGTGAGAGTTGAATAGAAACGTAAGGCCTGTGTGCTCTGAAATTTTACGCAATTACACTACTTCCCGTGTTCTCTAACAAAATCGTATCCAATTGACAATCGGAAGCAGCTGTAATACTGCATCGAGGGTGACTAGTGAGAGTCCCAGTGTGCCAATATTTCACTCATGCATTGCGTGGGCTTTCTTATAGTAGTGGGCGGGTTGCTGTTTGAAAACTGATCGAAAACCGACTGAGTATTAATAACTTACTTGACAAGATGTTTGTATAAGTTATTGTGTTCGGCTGATGGATGGGTGGGATCGGGTATAGACAGGTCAAAAAATACACCGCCCAGATATGCACCCGAAGACGAAAACCATGGATTATACTGCAGGCATACTAATCTTCAAACGTTAATACTTCCCTTGTAGTTGTTTTCACTAAATATGCCATCTCGTGTTGATTTTTATCTTGTCCGGCTCAGACATTCATCATTTTTTTTGCCGAAATCAATCAACTTCCAATGGATCTTGTCAATTTGTACCGCCAGCAAATAGTTCTCGGGGATAATCAATGTAAAAATAGTGCAGTACAATATTACCGTGATTAAAATGCGCCTGTTGGAGGTATTTCAAAATTGAATTTGAGTGTAATAGACGCATACTAGCCCGAAGTCATTTTCCGAAATGATCTCGTTCTTTGTGTTTAGCATGTTTATTTCCTCTCTTTTTATCTGGAGTAACAGTTGCGTTTTGTTTTCAATCGGTCATTTATATGGATGCAAATTAATCATGAACTGATACATTGATCCGAAGTGATGACTGATGTTGAGAAACCCAAATGAAAAAACGATTTCTTTGTATTACGGTTGTAATTCTGTAATTTTTTCCAAGCGTCAAGCAATGGAGACCCACAGAGGCTAAAATTATGGAATCGAAACTGTATTAGAGGGAAGCTTTTCGCGTGTAATGTGAGACTTTATTGTATATTGCAAAACACTAAAAGCACAGAGTGCCATAATTAAGATACTCAGTTAATGCTTCCCAGATCCGCTCTCTACAATATCGAACATGATGTATGGTTCTTTCAAAGACACGCTAAAAGGAGCCCGTAATAAACGGAAAACCGATCAGGTGCAAACCTGATCGCTCTACTTGACATATGTCACTTAAAATGATGAGTTGGTGTTGACAGCTTATATCAGCGGGAGCGCAAATGGTTTTCCGCTGAAGCGGATTGGAAGTGCAATTGAACGCCCATAACATTACGTGTAGAAAACCAGACTCAACGACTACGAATTTGAGATAATGGCGTGCGCTATGGTGACATCTTTTTTCCTTAATTCTGACTGCTGCTAAATTAATGACAAGTTAAAGTAAGCTGGGGCAGCTGAACGTTACAGTGGATTATTGTAGAGACTAGAATCGTCCCTGCGTTGTTTGGTTTTGCAAAAAAGCAACAGCAGGCGCCCGTGTGGGAGAAAAAACTGCAACGCGAATTATTAAAAGTTTGAGTCGCTAGTTTTCTTTTTTGTGACTTCGCTTTTCGTTTTCCTTTCCATCTAATCCTGTTTCACGATATCGATTAAAGAGGCTTTTCAAGCTTCCTTTGGCAATTCAGTAAAATGAGTGAATCGTCTTTGAAAGATGATTTATGATAATATCCGCCTACAATCCATCGTAGCATGATGAGTTCTCGAATGATAAGCCGTTTGTAGCGGACTAGAGGGAAAAAAAAGGTTTCCCCTCAAAAACATGTGTATTCCTCTCTGCGTTGGCTTTATATTTAATTTCAAAATGTTTTCCTTAACACTGTTATTTACTTAAGAAGGTTCATTAGCGAAAACCGACAGATTTAGACTCGTGTTTATCAAGCTTTGTTTGCCTGTTAAGTTCTAATTCATAGCCTTTTCATTTCGGGTTTTCTCTCCTTATGTCGATGTACAGAATGTATAATTAATGCTTTGAAAAAGCTACTTTAGCTCTCTAACAACCGCTAAGGCTAAACATCAACTGCAAAGTTATCAAGAAAACATACTTAAAACTTGGTAATTTTTTCAATATTTCTTATTTGGAGATAACATACTCACCAAATTCTTCATTCAGATGATTTTTCTGCTGATACAAAGCATTTTCTCTTCAATATCTCCATGTACGTGCTAGCGTAGATCAAAATTTGCAATTTCAACCATGCCAGACAAGCAGTGAACACGAAACATCTTATTTAAGTCGTTCAGAGCCTTTATTTCCTGAATAAATCCCCACTGCTAACAGTGTGCAACACTTGGACTTCACAGTGTTAATTTGGATACCTACCGACGATTCGTATTTGAAATAACATAGCAATTGAAAATCTGTTTGTCGCGGCTTTGATTAGTTTAAACTGCAAACTGCGAGGATTATTAGGAAACTGAGGCAGGTGAAACAATTCGAAAATGCTAAAAATTTCTAGATCTTCTCTATACAAAAACATTTGTGGTATAATTAGAAAAGAAAAAAGTCCGAATACCAGATGTGAAGTTTTCTCTTCTGATATCAGTGACGACCTTGACGAAAACTGCAGTGAAAAAGCTTAACACATTCAAAGATGTTGCGAAATGCTACACTTCAGGTTGGCTTAAATAACCCCATTCCCCAACAACGATGTTTTCAGTAGGGTATGAAGTATTGTCACGGAATGTTTTTCAGCGTGTCAGAAAATTACACTGTGCTATAAATGAGAAATGGTTCACGATTTTCAGAATTTCCCAACAGTTGATAACACTAGACATTCCCTATCAGCCAGGAGGTGTCATCTTGATAGATTACCTAATTCTCCTATCAAATAAACGAGGAAAAGTGTAACAGACAGAAGAGAGATTTTATGACTCAGAGCATCGTATTAAAAAGCGTGTAAAGGGAGAGAATAATTGACAAATCACTAGGTTTGCATATCAGAGAAATCCCGTTTCTTCCTTTAATTCAGTAACTTGGTCATTGCTCTATCGCTGGTCAACTCAAAGAAATAAACCGTAATATATAGACTCGTGTTTTTTTTTAAGAAGCAGTATCGTAACTGAAATCGATCAAACATTTAACAATGATACTCTGGAGGAGGACAACAAAGAGGAACACAGGTGTTTGAAGATAGGGATGATTAAATGGGTTGCAAATGGAAAATTTCCAAAAAAAAAATTAAGATGCAAAATTCTATAATTGAGTCACAGATACAAGCAATTTCCATCGCCAGAGACACTAAACCATTTTAATTCACCCACCCCCCATTGTATGTAAGTAACATGATGACCTTTCTCTCAAGCAAAACTCCCAATATCAAATCAGGTAATGGACTTACAAATTATTCTCGTCACGTTTATCAGAAAATGTAAGTGAGTTTCGAAGACAGCTAAGAGATAAATTGAAGTGGTTGGCCCTAAGCGGAGCCACGCGGTCCCAGTGTTTCAATACAGTGAAGTTATCAGTTTCCGAATTTACACGGGCAACATCGGTAAATGAAACATCGAGATATCAATATTTCTGAGTGAATCTTTCCAGAAAACGGATTCACCGAACAGATTTTCTGCCAAGCATAAGCTCTCCATAAGTTAAATCTACATGTATTGACGAATTCCCAGTGCTGCAAAAGTTGCTTAGATTTGAATCAACCCCTTAAACATTTTTATTATTCCGCAAAATATCTTTATTTCGGTTCAAGGTGTAAGATCAGCATGTTCTGCATTGTCAAGCTACGTATTGGTAAATGTCTATGTGTGAATTTCAAATCAACTCTCAGAATCCTGACATTCCCTCTCTGACGCACGTCTTAATTCACTTCAACAAGCTCCACTTAAGCCAACGCCTTTTCAATTTCCTGTGAAACAACTTTCAACTCTGAATCAAACAATGCACAGTTGAATCTGTGTTAAGCATTACCGTATTAAGCGATCACACCTGTGTAAGCGGTCGGTTGTCAAAGTCCCGAACTTATTTCCCCGAAATCACTGTAATATTCACCTCCATTAAGCGGTCACCTCTACCAAGCGGTCGCGGTCGACCTTGGAGTGAAACGGCCTTATTGTATTTTTTTTTTTACCTGTATTGAGCAACTTACAGCAAAAATATCCAGATAAAACTAGGAATAATCTCTCAAGGGAAATTAAATCCATGTTTTTCTCCTGAAATCAAAGTTAGTAGTATTATTGAGTGAGTTTTTGTACATTATAAGGTCGACTTTTTATCGTATCCAGGAGCCAAGTAATGGCTCCTGTCGTTTCTCATTTTATTCTTTTTCTTTGAGACCTATATTTATAGTTAAACCTGTATTAAGCGGTCGCCATTGCTCGTGGGTGATTGCCTAATACAGGTTTAACTGTGGTTATATATTAATTTGTAATGTTCTAGATCCCTAGATTTATTGTAAGATTATTTACACCCTTCAGTCAGAAGACTGTTTGATTTGGACATGTTGTCTGAGTGATAACACTGCTCTTGATTTGAAAATGAAGCTTTTTTAATGATCCCACGCCAATTGTTACGGATTGGCGTACTCACTGAAGATCGCCGGTTATGACTGGTCGAGGGTGATGTCATGATGTCAAATAGGGCACTGATTCGCTAATTTTTATAATGATCATGATCGCCACTTGTCGATTTTCTGAAAAAAGGAAAAAGATAAACGGGTCGAGAAGAAGACGCAATTATTCTAAAACTCACCTCAGTAATTACTCTAAAGCTCAAAAATAGATAACTGTTGTGTAAGGTTTTACTAATTATGTTACTCCGAGATTTTAGGTGCCATACAAGTAATCAATGTGGAGTGATCACACAAAATAGCTCAATATCATAATGCAAACTGCGTCTTAGGTGATTGCGCTTTACAAATGATCTATGTGAGGATTAGTTTGCCTTTCCATTCATCTCAAATCAAAATTTGTTCTCATTTAGGCAGAGCGACGCCAACCGAGGGCACTTAACTGAATCATCACATGGAAACCTGAGCTCGATGACTACTTGAATAATTGACTTAAATGACTCAGATACCATAACAGAAAACAACGTGCAACATTGGACAGGAATAAAAGAGGTAAAACTAAGGGTATTATAGATAGTACTGGTTTGCTATGCCAGAATATTGAGATTTCAATGGTACTCTGTCAGCAATTTTGTGAGTGATTGTAACTAGAGTAGCATAGAGTTTCAGCCATGAATCTAGAAAGTCAGTGTATGGTCGCTGTGGTTTGAAACATTGCGATCAGTTCTAAGGCTTATATATCAAAGAAAGGTCCAAAAGGAAACATTAAAGAGAGTATCGTTACTTTGCTTCAATATACTTCCCTGTCATAAATAGCTCCTTGCATTAATGTGATGAATCGACACCTGGAACAATATTATGAAGTTGTTATGACTAATTTTTTTCCTTCGTCTAGAGTTTTCAAAGAGAAGTCTCGAATTTTCAGTCATTCATTACCTACTTTAAATTTTATTGCTGATACAAACCCAAACATTATTCGCGATGTTATATTACACACGCTTAGGAGCCCTGATTAAAAAGGAAGTGTGCTAATTGCAAAAACCGAAATGTGTCCTTAAAATATTTATGAAGCTCTCGATTCCTTCAAGAATTTTTGCTTGAGTCCTTCATCTTTGTCTGGTTTTCGTAGTTGGCTTTGGGAATAAGTTCTAGATAATTTAGTCTTTACAGTTCTGCTCGTTCGTTTCCCGTCAGCAGATCTATAAAAAAAAGTGATAACAACAAAGTTAGAATCAGCTCTCAATGATATGGCCTCTTCCTAATGTAAAATTTAAGATCGGACACACACTGAATGTAAAGTTGGAAAGTGAAGTCCTGCTCACGTCTCACGCGAATCAAAAAGTGAAAATAACACGTCACGAAAAATTGGAGAAACAACCAGTTTCACGTATCGCAAAAGGCAAAAAATTCACAATTCGTATTTTCTCTGGTCATGAAAATATAAAAATTCTTAATCCCTAATCACGCAATGATACCTTCCTCCTGTGATATCCACCTTGTACCATATGAAAGACCTGCTCAGAAACTTTCATTTGAATGGTCACCCCGAAGGATTTATATCCACACTCTAACAAAAGAGAATCACTTTGCTGTGCACAATCAGAATGGATAATACGCGAGAGTACTGCCTATAAGCTTTCATATGAATGGCCACTCAAAACACTGAGGATGGCACCAGTTTGTGCAGAATGATATTTGAAACTTAGTGGGGGTCAAGCTGAATCACTTAATTTTTGGCATAGAGTTAAAAGCGATGTTCTCACCTGGTTCGGAGAAGCAGTGTACCACTTATAACAGATTGCTTGGAAGGGTTAAACCAACGTCTCCCGCAGTCAATGCTACATTCAACAGAGAGTCCGGGAAAAGCCACATTGGTAGAGAGAACACCATTGTCGATCCTATGTGAACAAGTGAATTGTTAAACATTTCGAAAAAATGCCAGTCCATTCTAATGAATTTTTCTACGATCATCGGCCCTGATCTCGTTTTGGTACTTAGTCATCACTTTGGGAGAGACTTTGTAAGGGTGAAGTGGTTTGCCACAAAGCATTATGCAGTGAGTGACTTATAAAAAGAATCAATAGTCGATCTATTTTTTCTCCCACGTGTCACATTTCGCTTCAGTAATCTTTTTAACAAAAAACGGATCAAGCAGACAGACGAAGTCCTCGATAAGGGCCTTCTTCCCAAGGGAATCTCTTCCAGCTATTTTTTTAGTCGAAATATCTAAGCTCCCAGGAATAGTGTCACATGTGCCCGTGTTTCTTGCAGGTAATCTTCAGAATAAAGAGGGACCGCATGGGTTTAATAACGTGTTTGTTTTTCAAATAAATTCGTGACACTCGAGTATAGTGATTTCTACTTCCTGTGGAGACTGATCGCAACTTATTTGAAAAAGGATTTTTCTCAGACTCAAGCCTTCGTTGGAGATTAACTCTCAGCCTAATCTTAATTCTCTTGCTTAAATGTGTTTAAATGAGAAAGGAAACTGATACCTGGCCCCCGGAGGAGGAATGTGATAAGCAATACCCAGCTTGTCCAAACGAGCAAGTTCTTTATAGCCAAGAGTGTTCGCAAACATAGCCCAGCTTTTATTCTTCATTTTGTTCCGTTTCATTTTATTTCTTTCATTTTCCCACAGATCTTGGTGCCACGCCCTTTCGGCGACAGCGAGAAGTCTTGGAAACGTCATGGATTGAAACTGAGAGGGAGTCCGTATTGTCTCTGACCAGATGACCCCAGCTAATCCTGTATAGGACATGAAAAAGAGAGTAGCATTGATTGCGTGCCGTTATGCCTAAAATAAATTAACCACAATGGGCAGTCAGAACTGAAAGTTAAGTTGGTAAAAGGCGAGGGTAAGCGAGCGTAAGTTTTGCATGTAACTCATAGCTTAGAGGCGGGCGAGTCTTGACAAATCAGAGAACATAGTTAAGCAAACAATGCAATCGCAGATCACTTTCGGTATTGAGTTGAAACCTGCTTCGTTAGCTATTTTACACAACTGCACGGTGGATTTTTTTAAGGCACAGGAGGTAATTATTGGTTAATCAATAATTCATGCTTGTTTTGGTTTTGGGGACTAGTGCTGCAGTTGTGGTCTCACGGAATAACGGGGTAGTGTAGACGATATTGATATTCAAAATACCTCGTGCCCAATCTGCGATCTATCTCAGAGATGGCTTGATTTAAGCAAAAAAGTGTCAAAAAATGGTTTCAGTGAAGGCTAACTTAGTGGAAAATCTTGGGAACAGTGTGGCTGGCGAGCACCCAACAGAGGAGCTGAAAAAAATTTTGAAGAGCAATTATATCTTCCACGCTGTCATCAACGTGTAAAAAAAAATTGAAAGAACACTCACCGATAATGTTCTCAAGTTTTTGTGGCTTTACACAACCTCCAAATATGCTACAGTAATCGCCACTTGGTTCTCCTCTGTCGTCTATTTCAAAACTGTCATACAAATGTTCAGGCATAAATCCGAATGCCTTGCGAGTGTTTGTGTACCGTGTGGCCCAATACAATCCTCTCTCTTCCGGGTCCGGTTCGTGTGCGTGATCAAAATAAAGGTGAGACGCTGGAGACATTACCACCTGAATTGAAAAGATAAGACCGTAAAGTATTGATTTATTGAGGGGACGGGGAGTGATACCTATCTATGTTGTGTCGGAAGTTTTGAGAAGTCAGTGAAATCCTCGCATGATTGTCCACCATAATAAATTTTTGCTCCAATTTTGATCCCTTTTTCTTGTCTCATAGATCATTTAATCTTTTCTTTAAGGACTAGTAACTAGGTTGATATCGTACTACACTGTGTATGGTCAGTCGATTATCACTATTAATAATACAATTACCACATCGCATGTCCTCTTTTAAAAGATTTTTAACAAACCTTGTACCCTTCATTGGCTAATCTGTAACCAAGATTAACAGTGTCTCCCCAGGCATGGCCATAACTTGAGCCACTTTCTAATTTCGTTTTCACTATATGGGATTTTGAACGATCTACCCATCCATCGTCCCACAGCATTAGTTTGACACCGTATTTTTTAGCGATTCGAGCGACCCGTTTGGTGAAAAAGGCTCTCCAATCCAGATGGGTAGACCTCGACTTAAACTTCTCTGACAGCCTTTGGCAGGCAGTAGACAGATTCCATGCTCCCACGGGAACCTCGTCTCCTCCAAGATGGATAACTTTGAGTGGCTGAACCCCTTCATGCATGGCCTTGACCTCAAGAACCAACTTTTCCACGAAATCATATGTTGCCGCTATACATGGATTTACAGCATTGTTGAAAAAGAACTGCCCTGATTGATAACTTGATCTATCCTTCAGATCATTCAAGTAAAACCTCAACCCTTCTTTAAATTTGCCTTCATTTAGATATTTCTTGTATCGAGCTTCCATAGCAGTGATAGCGGCAGTGGAATGACCAGGAAGGTCAAATTCGGGAATGATTTGAATATGTCGAGCATTAGCATATTTTAAGATCCCTTTGTAATCCTCTACGCTGTAGTAACCACTACCAGAAGTGTTCCTGAAGGGACCTGATCCTAACTGAGGTTTAAGGCAGTGAGTTTCTTTCAGATCATGACATCTTTGTGACGCAACCTGGTAGTTTATAAAAGAATGTAGGGAATGAATGGCTCAACATCCAACTTTCAAGTTTTAAACTCTTAAACTTTTTCCATGAATAGATTATTTCGAAACTAGACAGCTAGTAGTTAACGACTGAAACCCAGGAATGTGAGTAATCAGATTATACAACCTAAGTTGACGATATCTCTATATGATTAATAATAAATAGAAAAATAATCCGTCCTCAACTCCCATATCCTCATTGCTCTCTCTAAATTAGTACTAGCGGGAAACTACTTTTAATGATTCCTCAACTTAGTAAGCACTTGTGACATGGGAAACTCTGGTCCCTGTTGTATCTGTTACCTTCACTAAAGGTAACATGGGAAATTTTTACTATCTACTCCAAGGTCTGGCCAGAAGGGAGATTCCTGTAAACAGAGAGTTTTCAGAAACACCTCGCATTTTGTTTTCCTCGTGACCTCGTCTGCATATCTCCAGTCCCGCCCTTGTCTAAATATCTATTCGATTTATGCAATTGTCAATGCACGATACCTATTCACCTATCCACATACATACTGATCTGCGCGTCTTAGTAGCTCTCTATTCGTCTTTCTTTTCTCTCGAATTCATCATTCCCCTTTAGACCTACTTCTGTAAGTTCAGGTAATCCAGGAATCTCCAGACGCCACCCTTCGTCATCGGTCAGGTGAAGATGAAGCTTGTTCAGTTTGAACATTGCCATTCCATCGAGAATCCGCTTCACCTCTTTCGTAGGAAGAAAATTTCGAGCAACATCTATGCTCAAGCCTCGATACTCATATCTTGGAGCATCTTTAACCGTAACCCAGGGTATCTTTCCGTTCCTGATGATACTCAGGAGCGACTGAATCGCCCAGAACACTCCCGCAGGAGATGCACCAACGATTGAGACTACTTCTTTGCGTGGGTCAACCTTCATGGTGTAAGATTCATCACTGTCTCTTTTTTCATATTTTGTATCAATCGTTACCTTGCCAATCCTGAGCTCAATGAATTTACGTGATGGTGCCCCACCATCGCTGAGTTGCATCTTAAGCTTCTCTGTGGAGAAAGTCTTCATGGTAAGGAGCTGCTTATAATAGCAACGATAGACAATTTATTTGAGATCCAATCAATTTGCAAGAAATGAATAAACAGCTTTTGGCAACTGGTCGCTCTTACTCTTTGTTAACTTAATTCATGATTTCAAGCGGTCTTTGGTGATTTTTTTATCAAGTTAGTGTGACTTTTGGCTTGTCCATGCAAAAATAGATATACAAAGATTGCGCTTTAGTGTCAATGCGAACTGAATATCTTCAGTGACAGTGGTCCTTCACCTCATGCCCCCACCCTTAAAAATTTTCACTCAGATCATCTTGAACTGAACATACCTGACAGATATTGACCTTCATCTTCCAAACCTTTTTTTGAAATTACCATCCATTTTCCATCTTTTAAATCCATCATTTTGAAAGAACTTCCATTCTTTAAAACCGCAGGGGTAGGTAAAATGAGCTTACCGGGCCCTTTCAGATCAACTACGTTGTTCATATCAAAGCGTTTCTCTGGAGTGAAGGGATTAAAGTTGTCCAGTTCCGAACGTTTCCATTTCAAAGCTGAATCAAAACTACCAACAAATTTTAAACTTTCTCCCTTTGTGCTTTTAATAATTCTTGGCTTTAAACCAGGCGCAGTAATGTACCAGTTGGGCATGACGTCTGTCTTGGCAACTATTGAACCATATGCGGTGAGATCGAGCTTAGTTTTCCCACTAGGAACCAAGTCCAAAAAGGTTTTAGTAGGTTTTATCACTTGCAGATACCCATTGACGTGTGAGACAGAAATCTCCTTTCGGCTCATTACAAGAGGATCTGCTCTGTTGCTCAGTATTCTAAGACAGCTAAAGTATATTGCCCAATTTCCAGAAGTGATGTTATGCCGGCCTTTATTGGTAAATGTCAGGCGAATGTGACATGCTCCTTCCTGATTGGAGAGAACGTCGAATTGGATATCCAGACAGGACGCTATGTCGTCTAAATACGCTTGATCCACTGCCAGGCAAATTACTGCAGAATATAAAAGTAACTTAAAAGTAACTGGAAAATTCATTTTCACTGGTAAGGTCTCTAACAAACGTGAGACAACAAGTGTTATCCCCTGAGTGATTCCCAGTTGAAAGTAGAAAACGGTTTAAGAGTGTTGCCAAACTTTCGACTAAGCCGAGGCGCCATACAGAATTTTTTTGCAGACTACTCACGACACCTGCTATAATTCTGTGTAACAGTCTCAAACACTGAACGTTACATAACTACGCTTCCTTAAAGTGTCGGAAATCCTTTTCACCGACTACAAAAGGCTTTCCACTATGCTTTAAAAATAGTGAAACTGCTGCGCTTCGTTGAGCAGCTCTAGAAGTTGCTATCCTATCGCAATAAAGAAACTATTAGTGAATGATACTTTTTAATATTCTTTCCAGCAATTTTAAGCAACACTTGCCAAGTGATACTTTCAATTTAGCGTCAAACTATTTTCAACTTGAATAAAGGGGGTAAGTTTCTAAAGAAAATGGTGCTGCATCGGTGGGAGAGTATAACAGAGTAATAAGTATTATCAACTGAGTTGATAACTTAAATTGGTCACCGTAAAGAGTTTAAAGCTGATGTTTCGAGCGTTAGCCCTTGGCCAATCGCTCTGACAAAGGGCTAGCGCTCGAAACGCCAGCTTTTAAACTCTTTAGGGTGGCCAATTTACGTTATAAACTCAGTTCTTAACACTAAATTACTCAATTTTCAACTTGATTGGAACTAAAAAAGATCCAGAGATAAACCGCCCAAAGAGGAACAAATATGGCAAAGGATTGAAAAACTTGCCACAAATTGTAACTGGTGAAATAGAGAAACCGTGAAGACTTCACTTTATAAGGTATAGTAACTGTGACGAAGCTTCTCTAGAAACCATACAAATTAAAAAACAAAGGCACTGAGCTGGCCATGCAAGATCTTATACGTGAGATAATTATAGAAAAAAATCTTTTACGAAATCTAACGCTCCCTTTTTTGACCACTCGATCAACTTTCGACTATTATCTCAGCATTCGTTAATATTTGGTCCACACATTGATTTGTGTTGGTCAATAATACTGATATCAACCGAGAAAAAGTTAACCAAGCGTCAAATGCGGACCTGTTGTTATTCAACAGGTGCTACAGGACTGGATGTAGATGCAACCGTTCGAGTCCATCCCAGTAAGAGCTTCAAAGTGTCTCTTTGGGATTTTCCACAGTCTGGCTTCCGGGATTCCAGTCCGAAAACGCCTCCGATCTTGTCTACCGGGTAGCCCGCTATTTCAAACGAAAATACTGAGATATTCTAAGGGGGCGTGTGTTTCGATGAGAACCTGCAAACCCAACCAGCCCGTGCAAAGTGCAAGTGCAAACATGGCAGTGATAACTAAGCATATTAATGGAGGTCCTAGAGGTCAACGGAAAAGGCAAAACGGTAGGGCTGAATTCATGCTTTAGTCCTTGAAGACTTACGAGGAAACTATCCCAAGACGGCAAAGATTCACTTCGGTAAACAAATGATGCCATTTTTAAATTGTTAGAAGTCAAACAGCAGCGAAAGACTGACCTCTACAGGTAATGTTTGTTAAATATAAGAGGGAAAAAAAACAAACTGTTATACAAGCAAGAACAGAAAGAAATACTGTCAGGATAATGTAGGGAATCTCTACTAACCTGGTGTTAAAATGAGATATGAGAACATGCCAGGAATGAAAAAAAGCCATTTCCTAAGCTTCGTTGTGAACATGATGCAACTGAGTTCCGACATCAGATTTTTAAAACTGTTTTCAGAGGCAGTTTTATTTGCGATGGTTTCTCCCGTTATCTGCTCCACAGCGCGATGTCAGACCGTTCTTGAACGGCAGTAACCTCGAATTTTTGCCTCCTGGCACACAATCTCTCGAGATCAGAGCTCCCTTGAGATTTTTTCCTTGATCTTTCGATTAAATTCCTCAGTGTATAGAATGGATGGATATACAGCAAGATTCCTTCGAGGTAACAACCTCGGATATAGAAGACTCTAAAATTGATGAATCTTTAGTAGGTTGTTTCCCTATGTTTTCTCCCCTTGCTTTATATCTCATAAACAAAGGAGATCAGTAATTACCGAAATAATTGTGCCAGCTATGGTTAACGTCAAAATCATATCTGTACATATACATTTATATTCAAACCTTTCATGGTGGATTTGTTTGCCTCAGCGTCAATACATTTATTGTTTTTGTTGCAGGGTGTATAATTTCCGGGTCAGTGATTCTAGTTAAGTAAAGACCTTTTTCAGGCTCCAGAGCTAAGTAGAAGTGCGACATGGTCAATGGAAAACAGCGGTTAAACGTTTGCGCATGCGCGAACGCTGTAATGGCGTGCCATGAGGATGTCAGAACCATGTTACTTGACAAGAACAACCTGCCTGGAGGCGTTGAAATGGGATGAGTTGCTCGTTTGGTTAGACGTGGAAAATAATAAATTTACTGTTGACACAGAATTAGCCCCTAACCAGACATTCTTAAGGCCCGTCACTGGATATTGCAACACAGGATATTAATGTGGTCACCCATCCAAGTATCAACCTTAGCCAAAAGGGCTTAAGTTCAATGAAAAGCGCAAGAGCGTGGGTAATTATCATGCAAGACTATGATGTGGACGAAGGTTGACGGAAATTTAGACGTAGTCTGCCTTTGGCATCCTACTCACCGCTGACCAAGCGTCTTCTATTTGCGAGTTAACAACGGTGTAAGGAAACAGGCATGCACAGTTCTTACCCAAAGCAAGGCTATTAAGCACAATGTTTTACACGGAATTCTCTTCTTCTGAGGCATAATGAAGTTATTTCCTGTAAAGTCAAAACTTTTCTTCAGATTCGTGTGGCTCTTTTACATTGTTGCTTCACAAGGGTTTTTCGCTTGGTAAATTAGTTTCGCCTATATTTGCGTCAAAATTAATGTAGCACTTGCTTTGGTACTGTTAGACTACCTCATGCAATCAGTCTCTCTAAGTGCCGATATAATTCACTCCATATCGTTCTTCAGCCTTGCAGTCTCTCAGAAGGGTATAAGCCAAGTAGAGGAAAGATGAAGACACTTTCAGTCTTATTTCAAATTTATTTCATTCAATGTAACCTTCGTTTCACTTTTTGATTTCAGTTTGCAAACTAATATTGCTTTCTTGTGTTCTGCTTCTTTCTAAGTTTGAATTTCCACGAGCCTACTCATCCGCCGCATATCCGCTGACCTGTTAACAAACCAAAAGATTAGGCTCATTACTTTAGATCACACACTCACTTTTTTTGAGCACTAACGAGAATCAATCCTGAGACTAAGAAAACAGACAATATTTTGAAAAAAATTGTTTGAACTAGAAACGATGAGCATGTCATCAAAATGTGCTTCCTCTGCAAATCAAGTTTGGACTTCCCAGCGGTCGGGGTTAAGCGCTATCCTTGCAGAATTACGGCAGTAGACTACGACAGCACAGCAAGAAATCTCGCAGGTTGACGCAGGATTACCATTAAGAAGTGAAATTTACCCCTCCCTTCTCCAATGGTAGAACTGAACACATCGACCACACCTCTCAATCATTACTCAGGGCACCGTGATGCGGCAAAAGGTAGACAGCGACTAAAATTGCTTTTGCTTTTTATTCAAATGGGATTAAATCTGTCTTTAACACTCAATCACCTGGTTCCCAATAGAAGGTGACCAGACAATGTCATCCCATCACCGACGTCGCTCCAAGATTTCCCTCTGTCAGCACTGTACTGGATCACAAGTCCAGGGATGGCGGAGTTGACCTCAATTTTTTGGTGTGCAACCCTGACAGAGAATATTCAAAGTCAGAGGTTGTAACTTACCTTTTGAAATTAATAAATTAATGAAGAGAGCTTCCGAATTGCCAAGTAAATAAAATTTTCTCAATATATAAAGTTAAATGCTTCATTGTATTAAAGATTTCGAATGCTGAAAGCCAAAAGAATTACCTCGCGCCAGGAGGAGGGATATGATAATCTATGTTTATTTTATCCAGACGTGAAAGTTCCTTGTGTCCCAAGCTGTTAGCAAATGCTTCCCATTCCATCCTCCTCACTCGATTCCGTTTCACCACGTCAGTTTCATCCTCGAAACAAGCCTTGTGCCAGGCTCTCTCAGCCAGTGCTAACAGTCTGGGATATATCATGGACTGGAGCTGAGTTGGAGTTCTGACAGTCTCTGACCAGAGCGCGCCAGCCATGCCTATAGAATTAAAAGAAATAAAACTACGTCACAGATAAAAGGGTAAGAGGCTTTATGCCCGATGTTTCATTATTATTGCCGGACCTTAAAACGCTCTCTCAGAATGAAGTAATACTGCAGAAATTGGTCATATTGTTGCTCCTGGTGGGAGAAACGCTCATTCCAACGTCCTCCACCTTAGCATTGCAAACTGTGAAATTTCTCTGAAAGTTTACTGTTAGCCGTGCATACTACGGGTCAGAGACAGAAGAAACTTTTTTGCCCAAGAGCAGAAAAGAAGGACACGTCCAGTGCGTGAACTAGTAGCCAATGGTCGAGCCTAGTACGTTAGCCACTAGACCACCGCGTCTGTCTCTCTCTCACTCTTACTGACCCTAAAAAAGCTTTCAAATACGCATGTCTATACCTACTATATGATAAAAGTATCCTATTTTCATGACAGAGACCTACCGGAAGGATTTCTTTTCACTCAAGCAAGACAATATGTGACGTAATGAAGGGTGACGAGACCGTATGTGATCTGCTATGACGTAATCTGTTTGAGCTCACGTGATCCACAACTGAGATGAGTATTACCTGCTATATTTTGAGGTTTCTTTAGGGGAACACATTTTCCTTTGTACATCTCCTCACACAAGTTGATAATTGGATCTCCCATCCTTGTAAAGTCAGCATTAGCGTAAACATCATCCGGCATGAAACCAAATGTCTTTCGAGTGTCAATGAATCTGGGAGCCCAGTAATATCCCCTTTCCTCTGGATCAGGCTCGTATGGGTGATCAAAATACAAGTGGGTTGCCTGGGTCAACACAACCTGGAGAGTGGGAAAATGATGAACTCTAACTGAATAATTGCAATGGAAAAATACCAGGACACTTTTACTTGGTGTGGGCGTTGGTGAGTAATAGTGATATGGGAACCTCAAAATGCTGAGTGTATTACTTCGGGGAAGAATCGATCTAAGAGACTTAAATAACCTTCATAGGCCTTCTTTAAATGTTAGCGCTTTTTGACTCACTTCAATAATATATTTAGGACGTTTTTTGTGCGATCAAAACTTTATTCTTAATTTATGGCGTTTAAGTATGAAAGGGCATGATCAAGTGAAAATTGTTTCTAAAAGTAAATGATGTTTCCAAAATGCCTTGCATATGAGCGTGAAGTGACAAGAAATATCGCCACTCTCCCGGATGAACTAGTCCACTCATCATAGGTTGCGTCTCCGCCCCCCCTCCCCGCGCGCGATTTTTACCATGTTTCCCAGACAATTCGTAGGAAAAGGAACTTGATTGAAAAGGATCGTGGTTTGTTGTTGTGAGATGTTGTGAAGTTGGGCATACGCACGCAACATCTTACAAAATCTAAAATGTTGCAACCAAAGTTTGACCATTTTCAAACTTGATCCAACACCATCCAACATCTCAGCAACATGAGTGGCCAAACATATGCAACAAGTTATACGCAACAATGTTGCAAGATGTTACGTTGAAATGTTGCGTACATTTTGCCAGGCCGTTTTCTTGCTAAAAAAGACAAATCCCACCTTGTAATCAGCATTGGCCAGCTTATAAGCTCGATCTCCTTGACCCCATTCCCACACATTATCCCAAGCATAGGCGTACACGTTCCTGTTCTTCATGTAGCTCCTATCATAAGGGGTGTCTTTCACTCCTAGAACTCCGTCTTCCCAAGCACCAAGATCAAGACAGTATTTTGAGCTCACATCAGCCACTCGTCGAACGAAGTACTCTTTCAAGTCTTTTACAATGGTAGGACTTGTAAAGTTTAATCCCAGTGTATGCGCAAGTTGTTTGCAAGCGGGAGACTGTGTCCAGGCGCCATGTGCCACCTCGTCGCCACCGAAGTGGAAGACCTCGATACCAAAAAGGTGACAATAACGTATAAAGAAAAGACACTCTACCTACCAACCTTAAATAAGCGGCTGCTCAAGATAGGTGGTCGCTTAAGAGAATTGGGGTTTTAAGGGGATATTGGCACATAGATCTAAACGCTTTGCCAAAATAAGGGCGTGATCGATAAGTCACTACCCACTCACCCAGAAGTAAGGTAGCATTTTGTGAAGAAGTTACCTACAGAAGCTCAAATTGTTTAACAAAATGCAGCGTGAAGTTGACGCTAAAATTGGGCGTAGTCGCTTACGAGAGGTTCCTGCTATAATGATTACACAGGTAAAGTTTTGTTAGTATGAAGAAGCACCCCTATTCCCCTCTCCCGAAGAGTTACCTTCAGTGGCTGAATGTCCTGATGCATGTGCCTCACACTGATCACAATGTGCTCAAGGAACTCGTACGTGGATTCCAGACATGGATTGATAGCATTGTCTGTAAAGAACTGCACAGAAAGGTACTTTGACGTGTCGAGAGGATCTGACAAAAGGTACTGATCTGCTTCAAACGAGTTCCCCATGGCAGCCTGTTTCTTCTGTCTGGCCTGCATAGCCTTAATTGCGGCATGGCCATGACCAGGCATGTCAAATTCTGGGATGACTTCCACATGCCTCTCTTCTGCATATTTTAATATCTCGCGGTAGTCGTTCACGGTGTAAAAGCCTGTGCCAGAGTTACCAGTACCTGGACCGGAACCGAGCTGAGATCCAAGACATTTTTCTTCTTGGGGGTCATGGCACCGTCTTGATCCAATCTTTAAAAGAAATATTACAGCTTCAACTGATGTTCATATCAGCTAATGTAAATGCATTCTGATCATGGTTTAAAGGTGACTATGCCATGAAAACTAAAATTAAATTTTGAAAGCAAAGTGAAAAAATTATTAACTGTTCAGCAAAACTTTTGAAATTGTTACATTGCAAACTCTGTGAGATCTACGTCACGGATGAAATGGGGAGTCTCCATACGAAATCAACTCGCAAATCTGCCTCTTGTTTGTTATATATATCACAACTTATAATCTGCTCTCTAAATGTCGCAAGGTCTTTCTGACAAACCTCAGTAAGTTCAGGCAATCCTGGAATTTCAAGTCTCCATCCTTCATCGTCAGTGAGATGAAAGTGGAATTTATTTAGTTTATACATTGCCATGGCGTCGATCATCTTTAGAACCTCGCCCTTAGGCATAAAGTTTCGCCCAACGTCAAGTTCCATACCACGATACTCGTATCGCGGTGCATCGTTTATAGTCACGTGAGCAACCAGGCCATCGGGCTCATTCAGGCTGAGTAGGGACTGAATTCCATAAAAGACTCCTGTTGGTGAATTACCAATGATTGATATGCAGTGCTTACTGGAGTCGACCTTTAGGCTGTAGGCTTCTTTGCTATCGGATCTTACACCATTGATTTGAACTTCACCCATCTTTAACTCCAACTTTCGAAACGAGTTCAAATAATCCATGTGAATACCAAGTTCACCTGTAGAAGGTAATGCGCATTTAACACTAGACTTAAAAAACAGTTTGTGATTTTTTAAAAGTTTTGAAGTTTAAGGTGTATAAAATGAAGCATTAAGTAAACAATTTAGGTGGCTTGCCATCTTTCACTTCTTGAAGTTTAGAGTAAAAAAACCTTTACATTACCTGCTAAGAAACTGGCCTCCTTCTTCAAATCCGCACCAGCCACAATCGACCAGTCACCAGTCCTTAGGTTAATCTTTTTCGACTCATCAAGGCCGAGAATTTCCTGTGGACTGGGAATGATTAACTGTCCAGGCTTTTTCAAATTATTAATATCATTGATGGTGTATCGCTTCTGTGGTGTGTATGGGTCGTACTTGTCAGATGGAATCCGTTTCCATTTTTTCGGCGAGTCAAACGGACCGACAAAAGATAAATCTTCGCCGGAAGTACTGGTAATTGTGCGGGCCTGCAATCCTTCAGCGGCGATATACCAGTTCGGCATAACATCCGTTCGAGCTACATTCCAGTTCTCTGCGTCAAAATCCACCATCAAGGACTGGAAACCAGCCAAGCCTGAGAAGCTAGCAGTAGGCTCAAACTTGTGTTGACAGCCATTTATATGTGTTACTTTGATGCCATGGCTACCGGGGATGACGTACCCACTTGGATTGTGCTTTGTGTGGGCTGGCTCGATTACCCGGATATGGCAGAGATAAATGGCCCATGGTCCATTGGGAATCGCTTCTGAGCCTGAATTTTCCAGGGTCATGCGGACGCGGTATGACTTCCATGTATCCTGAAAGTTATCAAGGACGTCATAGCGAATACCGAGGTTGGCTGCGATGTAATCCAGCGTCGCTTGCTCCAAGTTTTGGCAGAGGGCTAGCAATGACCAGAAATGATAGCATAAGCCTTTTTTTTCCTCTCTTAAATACTGAAACTGTCACTGAATTAAATAAAAAGAGAGTAAAACTCTTACTAGACCCGGCGTGCAATGTCTCAGAAGGACGGTGCTAACTGCAGCATTTCTTGAATAATAAGTACCCGCTATTCACATCCCTTTTTATCTAAATACTTTAAGCTTAGTTGGCGCAATTTATGACTGTTCTTTTCTTAGCGTAAAAGTTATGCGGTGACCATGAAAAAGTCATGGAAATCTTTCGTGAAAAGGTTCCGAACTAAACGAAGGACCACACCTACACATAGTGGAAAATAAACAGATGAACGGTTGTTCATGAGTGGCTCATGATCATGCGTAGCCTAAATTAAAAACAATAATCTTTCAATTAGGGAAACTAACAAGAAAACTCCAACCTTGTACTATTAATCCCAGTAATACAGCAACTGCAAAATGTCTCTTTCTAGTTTCCATGTTATCTCACCAAAGAGTTCGAGGACTAAGGATGTTTAAGACGATGCCCTTCTTGTAATGTGGGCCGTGGGCAAATTTACACCTGGAGTTACGCTTTAACATGTCGCTTTTGCCTTTATAAGCTGAGTAAACTGACAAACACACAGGGGCATCGATTGGTTTCTCCAATAAGGGGGAGGGAGTGGGAGTCCAAAATTAGCTTTAGAGACGTTTGACAGGTTATTTTGGATTCAAATATTATCACTTTTTCGAGACAAAGAAGGATATCACATGCAGTCATGCGGTCTAAGATTAGAACTCCTCCCCCCTTATCCACGCCCTTGATACATGTGTCATCGTTGCAATATCTTCTCACTTGTCACTGTACATCGACAACATCTAAATTCTATGATCTTTTGCAGTTTTTTGCACCAATGACATAGCAGAATTCCATACATTATTTATCGATGTCCAAGCGACGGTTTTGAGGTCTGATTAAACAAAGATCGTGAGATAAATTGACCTATAGTTCTTATGGAGAACTCTTCAAATACGCTTAACAAAATTGATGGTGCTGTTCACTTTACTGTGATGTGAAAACCAACACGTAGAATTAGAATTTGATACTCACTGTAAAAGAGAGTTTGTAACAATATCTCATCTGGGCGGCTGTGTTTTCTTTTGTCCAGAAAAATACCTCTGTTTACAATGTCCTTTTTTTTTTAATGATAATGTCACTTCGTGTATTTACAGGCGAAGGGGAAGATTTTCACAGCAAGTCATCTTGTTAACACAACCAAACAGATGAACAAAGCGGCTAGCTTTCTTCGAATTTGGCATGCTAGAATAATGTCTCAAATCTTCTCTGGGTCCTCAATTTTCTGTCTTTGTTCTAAGCTTTAAAAAAACAAAGCTTTAAAACTATTTCTTTTTCAATACGGGAATCTCAAAGGAGGGTATACATTTCATCACAAAACTTTGTGAAGCAAAAAAGATTGAAAATCTAAATAATGGTCGAGGTATAACAGAACTTACAAAAAAGACAGTTAACCATTTTAATTTTGACAACAATACCGCGCATTGTTTCGTGTCGAGGTCAGCCGAAGCAATGAGCGATTAGCTGTGTGTGAGGAGACCGAGTGTAGAGTTGGCCGCTACGTTGCCGAAGAGGAGTGGGGACGAAAATCCGTCAAGAATAACCGGTCGGTATATGTATCTCTGCCGAAAGGCCCTGAATATAAGTCGAGGTCTGCCATAAAGGACAGGCATTTCTGTTGTGGTCACATGCTATATCCAGCGGTAGATCGCCAAAATTCTGTGCTGTATAAGCGATGCTTTCCAGCCCTTAACGACACTCTCGTCGATGAGAATAACAACATCTTGTAGCCGTAGGGAACAGACTTTGGATCATGGCCATAGCACATTAATATGAGAATACTTGTTGAGACGATTTGTTGCTTTTTCAGGCTTCAGCGAAATTCAACTCAGAAAAGAAAAAAAAAACATTACTTGAGTTTGGAACATCCTTAGTAGTTACTTAACGACAACCTTAAGCGTCCCCATTAGACAAGTACTCATTTAACAAAATCCTTTTTACGCAATAAGTCTGAACTGAAGCACCATTTGGTCCCTACTTCAACTGTATGAAAGTCGAATTATATAATACAACGTATGTAACGATTACCCAAACAAATTTCTTTTTGAGAAAGATGTTTTTCGTCTTGTCACGAGCGTGGAACAAAGAAATAATTCCGAGTACCCACAAGGAATCGAACCACAGACCTTCGGGCAGATTCCGCGCTCCGATGCTCTACCACTGAGCCACAGAGACTCCACGGTGAGCGAGGTCTATTACGAAGTTCATATGACACGCGTCCTGCATACTGCTAGGATCAGCAGTGTCGATAGCTTAATTTTTGCAGATAGAATTAAGGGAGGTGGTAAGTTTTGAGCTCGATAAAGAAATAGAGAAAGATGTTGCATTCTATAGTTTCTGTTTAAAACTAATCTGCAAGGGCCTGTTTTACTGGATTTCCCTCAAGGTATTATTCTTGTTAGTCAAACGTTTAAGGTAAGTCCTCTCAGGTAGGTTGAGAAGGGTATAAATTTCTCAACACTAATTGGAAGCATGCGCGGGGGCTCATGCTTCTAAACATGCAGTGATTATTTTGGAGCATGCGCCTTGACGATTGCCAAATTTTACTAATAATTTGAGCCGCAACGTTTGCCAGTACTCTAATTGGCGCGTGAGTTATCGTAAACCACATTTTTATAACGGTTTGTTTTGCCTCATATCATCATGATCAAACCGAGATATAAGTATCTGGTTAGCATTATGGTACTAAATAAGGTTAGAGCCTGAAAACCGCACTTTATTTGCTCCTAAACTGTAAGCAGTGCATAACGACATGCGTGGATCCGGAACAAACAGGAGGATTCATTTTCTATGGTGTAAAACTCTGCTGATATTCATCTTTGTTTTGAACGTGGCTCTGTTCGTCATGTTCAACGGCCTTTTTCTTCACTACAGTGACCCGTTAGGTGAGTGTGCCGCAGTCAAAATGTTTAGCAGTGATTCAAGTAAACACCGAAGTAATTTGAACATACGTTTAAAAGAAGTGATACCCCGAAGCATTTGACCTCTACAATGGTAAATCTTTCAGCTATGCCTGAGCCTTCCCCGTTTATAATGGTGTGATATTTTACAAAATTTTAAAAAGCATCCTTCGAGTGAGTAAAATTTGAACGAAAGGTGTAGTTTTGATTTCGTTTCAGGCGCATCTTTGTTGACGATTCATGTTAATTAGCATGACGATTCATCGTCTGTGAGATCACAAAGAGTCATTTCTGAATCGATACCATTGACATAACCACCATTTTCCGAACATTTCTCCTTAATAATATCTGTCTTTTTCGGCAAAACGATTATGAAGACTTTAAACTTTATAAAAAGGATATCTTCGTTAAATTATCAGTCGCTCTTAACGTCCAAACCTTTTTTATTTTCCCATGGTCTGACATTTTCCCGGGAATTCCACACAACATCTTCGATTCAGTCACATTTCGTCCACAATATCTTGAGAATCAGTGAATTATTTAAATAAAACAGTGAACTTTAAAAAAATTTTCCATTTTTTTATTCAAAACAAGGAAGACATTTTGCCTTTGAAGGTGGAAAGCCCTCGAAAAACAATGCATACTTAAGGAATGAAAGCGTCGCCATTGGTTATCAGACCGAACAAAGTACTCTCCACGATTCCGTAACGAGAATCGATGTGATGAAACCAACAGAGAATAATAATGTATTGTTCATTTACGATTGTTCTAAATTGATCAGTTGATGTTTGATTAATTTTCTTTCGTTAGTTTTTTCCGTTTCGTTTGGCCTTGAATCGTTTTTCTGATCGCAAAACAGTAAAAACCAGAGTAAGTGAACTTCGTTTCAGTAGTGTAAGTCTTTATCAAACTGCAAATTAAACATTTTGTTAAACGGTGAGCACGTGTTTTTTGTCTCGGTTTTGAAGATTGCACTCATTTTAACATCATCTTTTTTTACAGATAGCGATTCTACCAATTTTAAATTTCAAGTTTTAGAAAGCGAAAAGTCCTATGAAAATCCTTATTCAGAAGAGACTGAAGAGAATCCGGTGTTAAGCATAGATAAAATCCCACTTCCAGATCAGAAAGAAAATGAAAATTTCCTCACTGATGACGAAGATTATAAAGATGACAACGAAGACGATGATAAAAACGGCGACGGCAATGACAGTCAAATCGACGACGACCAGCGTACTGAAGAAAATGAGTATTACGAGGGTGATAATCATAAAGAAATAAAAGAAGAACAGCAGCAGATAACAGAAGAGAAAGAATTCGAAGACACTGCGACTATCTCATATGGTACTCCGCAAATTAAGCTTACCCCACAAGAAGAAGTAGAGGGAGAAGGCGAAGGAGTAGAGGAAAGAGAGGAAAAAGAAGAAGGCAAAGAAAAGAAAGAGAATGAAAATAAAGAGCACACAACGTCTGTCCCACATAATACTCAGAAAATGAACCTTAGCGGTAAACCAAGCTTTTCACTTGACCAAAACGTGACAATTCCTTCGCACTCCCTCACCGTTGGAAATTTTTCTCAACCAACGAAGAAGCCTTCAATCAATATTCCACTAAATGCAGAAACTGCTACAACAGAGGGAGACAAGCCACCTGAAGACAAACCTGCTTTTGTTGCAGCCGAGCCAATTACTCAAGAAGTCTTGGACAGAATAGCAGAAGATATGGAAGTCCGTTTTGAAGTGTTGGAGGATATAAGAAAAGCGAAAGTAGCTTTACGAAATCAAGGAATGAAAGCAATTGATGGAAATCGATGGTCTGTTCATTTTTGTTTAACAACTGGAATGGAACATGCCCATCTTGTGCGCAGGCCGGAAGGGTACGTCCTCCCGAATCAAACGTCAATAAAACTCACACATTTTAATGGTTGTGCTTATAAGTTAGAACCCACAAAGGACTTCAAGCCTATTCTTCCTGGGAACTCGCTAGAATTTTGGGTGAACATCGGGCCAACGATTGCTCGGAGTGATTTGGGACCTCGATGGTACGTTGCTGCAGAAGGGTTGCAACCAAGGGTCATTTCCAATACTGCTGATGAGAGTCTGGACTTTGTGTTCCTTTCGAAAAGAAAAAGATCCTGGGATAGGTTTGGACATAACGATGTGGAAGATCTTGGAACAGCACCTCTTTTGGTGATTCCAACGCCTTTAGAGATTTTAGGATTGAACGTATCCAGGAAGATTCACATTGATAGCGAATGGGTCGTGGTTGGAGAGCTTGGGTTAGAAAATGAGGCAAAGTTCGTTGCAGGTGATACACGATTTTACTGTCTGACGAGCGTGTTAACTTTGGTATAGCTTTTTTTCAGTAGAAACTCTAAAATACCAAATAGATAAAAAGGGACAAAAGGCTAGTTATAAAAGAGACCAGATCTCTATTGGTTCATAATTTGCCTCTTCAATTCCTCATATTCAGGTTGTGTAGGGACAACTTGCGGTGTCATATAAAGCTCAGCATATTTTAAAAGTCAGAGGAAAGTTTTTCAAAGTTTTTAACCTCGTTTAATCCTACATGCAAAATACTTACAGCTGTTTATATCTCTTAGGTTAGGCCTAAAACTTAAATAACTATGTTTAACTTAGCTTGTTAAGCCTAAATTAATCCACGATCCGATTCATTACTCTATACAGATAAGCTACAATTGCAAAAGTTTTTGTCTCAAACAAATGACAGAAGAGTTATCAAGCTCAGGCTTGATGAGACACAACTCGAAACGACAAAGGATGGGGGAACAAAGTTGAACCAGTCTTCCAGTGAAGCATACCAGCTGACTGTGGATGCTACTGAGGAGTTAATCACCATCACAGGAACTGGAAATGCTGGTGTGTTCTATGGTATCCAGACTCTTCTCGCTCTTATGGATGACCAAGGCTTGGTTCCCCAGGTCTCAATAAGAGATTCACCTCGTTTTCCGTACCGAGGGTTGATGGTCGACGTTGCTCGCAATTTTCAATCAAAGCAGGAAATTATAAAGCTTTTGGACGTCATGGCGATGTACAAAATGAACAAGCTTCATTTTCATCTCTCAGATAATGAAGGGTGGAGACTGGAAATACCAGGAATAGAGGAGTTGACTTTGGTGAGAGACTGGTCCTTATCTATCGAATGGGAGAGGGGGGAAGGGGATAAAAATAATACATTTTGC